TTATATATCTACTATATAGATACATATGTCTTTCATATTTCACTGATGTAATTATGAGTTAATGTAGCTGCTTTAGTGAATTTGATCAATTTATCAATTGGCTTTCTATAGTATACGTTTCCTGACGTATAGGGCTCTCTCAATTCAGCTGGTCAGCGTTATCAGAAATATATACACTTTATAGGGCATACGCCTCCTGCTGTCTATCACACGCATTTTCACTTGACTACCCTGAGTTCACATGGTTCATGGACCCAGGGTGCCATAACGGAGTTTCGGATGAGCCACTTGTTGTTAACTTAATTTTTACACCGAATGGCCCATGGGGCTCATCACTTCTGCCCACAGACTGCAGTTTCACGCAGCCCAGCTGCCACATCGCACAAGTTGCAAGTTGCAAGTGTGCTAGATATAATTGGCAGAGCACACACTCACGTTCGATGCTTACTTAATTATATTTGACTCAGTTTTGCAAACTTGCTGTCTCTCGAAACTTGGGCAAGCACTCAGACTGACTCCTCCGCTCGAGAGCCATCAGCTGCATGAGTGAGGGCCCGGCATGCCACTACAAACTTAAAGCCAGTAAGGACAATACCATCAAGATTAAATAATTAAGCAAGAGCAAATCTGTTGCTTAAATATTCTTGTGTGTATCAATCAAATTTGAATTCATTTATTCATTGGCATAATTAACTTAATGTTGGCTCCGACAATCTGACGAGCTCTTTCCTCATCTATCACGTCTTCATATATAGGATTTGCTCCTAACTAAATGCTCATTTAATCGGGCATCTTGTCTCGCATTGACAAGAATCTGACGCCGCGCCCATTATTCATGTAGTATCTGTCGGTCGAGTCGTTTAACAGTTTATGACTTTGATAAATTAAATGGGGCATGGCCGGTTGCAAATACGCCCGAATGAATGCATGGATATACATATCGACTTATCACAGGGCGCCTACAATGGCTCCGGATCATGGAAACCTTTACGCTCAAGACTGGCGCAGTCGTAAAGCCTTAAAGCCGTTTATGGTCAATTGAAATGCAGACGCATCGAAATGTTATAAAATTTAATAATATCTGCTTTCAGACTTAAAATAAGACTCCAATTCATACTTTGACCCATCCACAGCCAAAGCTATGTCGGTGTGCGTGTGTGTGTGTGTGCGAGTTTATTTTGAGGCGTGTTTTGTGTTATATGAAAAGGGAAAGGCGAACGCCGCAGTGGTAACAGCCGAAAGTAAAGAAGGTAGCACAGCAGCAACATTTTGTGTGGCTTTGCGGCCGCATCAAGTATACGCACCATAAATCAGAGCAACGACCCAAACCGCTCGCAACATGCCCAATGACGTATTGAATGCATTAAACTCTGTCTTAAATTGCGCTCCGGCCGTCTGCCATAACTTGAAGTGGTGCTTAAAATGAATTATGCATTGTCGGTGTTATTATATACCAGTTCTGCTGTGGGAATCTCTGTCTTAGCACACACACACACAGATACACATACACACATAACTGGTCCAATTGGCCGCACATTAGAGCACTGATTGCAGCCAGAGCAAATACTCCTATGGATAGTATATATACTTTACATATTTAGCTCTCTACATCGTTCGTCTCTTTCTATTTACAGCGCGATGCCATTTCATATTTCATTCCATTCTAATGGCAGTCAACTGATGTCAGGTAAGCTGATAATCTAATTCTTGTATTTTCATCATAATTAATGGAGCATTCAATGTTTGGGCCAGCCGTGAACTAAACATGCGGCTAACTGATTGCTTTCATGAAAAATGCACACGAATGTCCTTTCGGGATTTGCAAACCAAAATGAGCGTTAAATTTATGCAAACAAGAGCCAAATATACATAATCAACTTGGGCTTGTGCTCCACATAAATAAACATGAATGTGTGCCAGGGCGTATGTGTGTGCGTGTGTGTGTGTGTGTGTGTGTGTGTGTGTGTGTTTAAATTCGGTTTGTTTATCTCAAATGCTACAAACTATTTAAATTGAGTTTTGCTTACTTCACACCTGGATCTACGTTTATTAAACAGAATTGGAGCATAAGACTTCTTTAAAGTATTTGATGATATTTTAGTATTATTTTAGCTGTCTTGCTAATTACGTGTGCTATATGTCAATTAAAACAAAATTGTATATCAAATTTCATTATTGGTAATTGAATCTCTAAGCAAGGCCTGTGAGCCATGGACATTTCTGATCAGTTCAGTTCACTTCTATAATTTTCATCTAATTGTTTGTGTGTGCAATGATGAATAACGAGCATCTGTGGGTGTGTGCGTGTCGTGTGGCTATGCCCATACGTTGACGAGTCTGTGTATTTGGTTTGGCTGAGCTCAAGCCACAAATTACATGAAGCCAACCATTTGAGTTTGAGCAGCAAATATTTTACGCTCAGCACATCCGAAATGCACTTCAGTCGCAGCCAACGAAATGATTAATGTGGTCCCGGCGT